GAGTCCTTTAGAAATCTGGTTTGCGTACATTTAAGTTTGCGTTGCCGGCAGGTGTTGCTAATTACATGGCGGATTAGAGGATAAACAGCTATAACCAGGAGTTTATGCTTACCAGGCTATAGTCAGGGCTCAGAGCTATTAATAATGCCCTGTTGGATATGAATCAACCCATCGGTTAACTTACCTGCTTGTCTATACTTCCGGGGCATAAGTCCAATTAGATACAATAGTCATTCTCTTTCCGCATACTTGGAAACTTAGATATTGTGTACTTCGAATGAGATACATCCGAGACTCGGATGAGAAAGGTGCCCTAGACACCGAGCTTAGCCTATTTAAGTTACGTATAGCTGGTATGCTGTGCCACATCGCTTAGGTGGATCCGTCCCATGACGGGAACGCGTTCTCAGTTTCAGCCACAGCCTTCCCGATAACCTTAATCCCATCCTTTATCAGCCCGTCGGTACCTCTCTTCCTACCCCATGGGGCAGGTGATACCGCGTCATCTCACCGTCTTCTGGTTTGGTGAATACCTCGGACACTCTACATCAGCACCCTGATATACAGGTATCTCCAGCTACGCGATCATTATGGCCATCGTCGAAGGATGGCTCCCTGCGAGCCGCGATAATTGGGAAACGTTGCTATGGTGGTGGCAGTTTTATCCAATTGTATGTTGACTGGCTCACTTATCACAACTTAGCGACTTGTTGACTGACTCGGTGTTGTAGTTTGGCTCGTTGCAATGGTTCTCCTCGTGGTATGGCATGGGGAAAACCTCCGTTAACAGCAAGCTCAACATTCCCGGGCGCGTCGCTTGGTTCACTATGGAGGTGCCCGGCTTCATCACCCTCTTATACATCATGACGACTTTGCCGGCCCAGCACGGCATCACCGACCTGCCTTGGCAGAACAAGGTGCTAGCGTCCTTGTTCGTCATGCACTATATCTATCGTGCCGTCTTCTTTCCCTTTCTGCAACCATCCATGTCTCCCATTCACGTGCAGGTTTGGGTAATGGCCCTGATGTTTCAAGTGTGCAATGGTACGGCTATTGGTTGCTGGCTCGCCGCTTACGGCCCCACCACCGAAGCGGAATGGGAAACTCAGGGCTTCTCTGTTTATCAATTCGCTATCGGGCTCGTCGTGTTCTACGTCGGGCTGGCCGGTAACTATTTCTCCGACGAGGAACTGCGCGAAATTCGACGAAGCGAGATGAGGCGGCAAGAGAAGTTGAAGCAGCAGGGCAAGACCATCCACAAACATTACGAGGTGCCCGAGAATGGCTTGTTCAAGTATATGCTCTTCCCTCACTATTTCATGGAGTGGGTTGAGTGGACGGGGTATTGGATCGCTGGTGGCTTAGCATTTACCCCGGCTCGATGTTTCCTGTTGAACGAGTTCTTCGCCATGCTTCCTCGTGCTGTCGCCGGCGGCAAATGGTACAAGGAGAGGTTCGGTGAAGAGAAAGTCAAGGGGAAGTACGTCATCATCCCTGGAGTTTATTAGTCGTGTTTCCTACACCAGTCGGCTACTACAAAACCCTCGGGTGCACGCCTCAGCCAGCCCATGCTCCTTACTCGAGAAATTCGAACATTGTACAGGCCGTTTCCTGTTCGCTGATGGCGGAGTGGTTGATCCGAAAACGAGACGGTACCGAAATACAATGCAGTTCCATTGTGCGGTTGTGCCTAATTCTTAGCCCATCACATGAAATCGACCAGATTAAAAAACCATACAACATTAGTTACGTCGTTGAAGAGGCTGAAATCGCCTCTACCTCCAGTGATCGAGATAGTTTCTAAGCATGTGGCATGTCTAACGATTCCTACAGGAGCGACCCCCAAATAGTCATCCGACGTTCACCTATTCATCATCTATCGTTCGTAAACTTGGAAGAAAGAGCATGTCGGCTCTGAACGTAGTGCTACCTAACTAGTATTTACATATGCGTGCAGCCAATTATGAGCGCCAGCTCCAAAAAGAAAAAAGAAAGAAGAAAACTCCTGATAAATAAATCCAAGTACTTATCAGCTTCGCATGACACGACTATTGTGACGATGGTATTAATGTGAGTACGGGGCGGTGTGCCAAATATTTTATTGTTATGTGCAAGCGTAAACTATATATACATTGGTGGTCGTCCTAGCCATTATATCTAGAGCTGATTAGAGACGGGAATAGGCAGCCAGCCCGTCCAGAACCGGAGCCATGGCGCCGGGACCCCAGCCTAAGGGGCGTACGACTTGAGCAGGGGGTTGTAGTAGGTGTAGCCGGTGCCGCTCGGGGGCTCGAAGCTGTAGATGTAGTCGGCCCACCAGGGGCCGGCGGCCCACCACAGCGCGCCCTGCCACACGTCGCTGTTCTGCTTCAGGTGGTCCAGCAGGCCGGTGATGGCGCTCTTGCACTGCGTGTTGGCGCCGCCGGCGAACTCGCCGAGGATGCCGATCTTGCCGTTCTGGCGCAGCCAGTTGGTCGCGCTCGCGACGCGCTCGGCGCCGATGGTCGCCGACACGCACACGTCCGAGGTCCCCGAGTTGTCCGAGTCGAGGTACTGGTGCATCTCGTACACGAGCTTGTTGGCCGGGTCCTTCAGCTGCTTGAGGTTGTCGTTCGTCGCGGCCCAGGCCATGGCCGCCGACCACGAGTTGCCCTCGGCGAAGATATACTGCGAGTTGGCGCCGGCGGCGCGGATGGCGGTGATGGCCGCCTGGTTGAGGTTGAAGACGAGCGTCTGGTCGATGTCGTGGTACTCGTTGTTGGTGTCGAAGATGACCTTGTCGTTGGACTTGAAGGCAGTCGCCAGCGTCTTCCAGAAGCTGCCGAAGCCTGCTGTGTCGGTGATGATATTGCCGTAGTAGCGCCCAAAGTTGTGACTACATTTTCTCTAGAGTCAGTTCTGTAATACTGTTGTGCGGGGAGGATATATAGTATGAACCCCTAGGGAATAAGGAGCATATAGAGGCGAAGAGAAACGGTCAAGGCCGACTGTTTGATCATTGTCGTTGGAACTGGTCAGGGGGCGGGGCAAGAGTACGTCAAAAGAACTACATACGGATCTAGAATGGCGTAGGCGCCGTTGCTGGTGATGTAGTTCACCGTCGCAGTTAAATTCTTCAGGTAGGTGGCATCAGCCGGGTTGGTCAGCTGAGTGGGCACGAGACGCTCCATAGAGAACGCAACGCGGAATAAGTTGTAGCCCTGGCTCCGGAGGGTCTGCAATAGCTATTCAGATTCTATTCGTTAAGAATGGGGTTTTGTTCTTCCTCTTCTACTCACGCTTATGGCTGTGTTGTCCGGGAAATAGAAATCCTTGCCCCAGAGACCAGGGTACTTGCCCTGGCCAAACTCGGCGACTGACAGGTTGATTCCAAGCCACTTGAGTTTACCGGACCCGGAGGTCGGCGTCGGCGTCGAACCAGTTCGTGTCGTGGTGGTCAACGTGGTGGTGGTAGCGGTCCCAGGCAAGCACTGAGAGTACCACTGGTTCGAATAAATGCAGGTATAGCCCGAGGGGCATGTCGTATCTCCATTCCAGGTGCTGCCACCGCATTGAGCATATGGCCCATTCGCAGCCGCGGCGAGGCCGACGAGGGCACTGCTGAGAATGAAGGACCGCATCCTGACTTACAAGCTTTGGAAGTCTGAGTTAGCCTGGTGACGAGGGGAATTCTCTTCTCTTCTGGGTCTGTAAGACGCAACCAGACGCCATTATATATTTCACATGGTCTGTGTGAATGTCTTCATCGCGGTCACAACTAACGCTACCAACACTGCTAACACTCAAAGGAGGTTCCCAGTCCGTGTTCCAGCATACCCAACACTAACCAATAACGGGGACGGAGGCTAGAGGAGGTGCCCAAAACAGCAGGCGGCCTTCCGAGGTTGCGGGGCCGCGGCATAGCGGCTCACGATCCCATCGGATCTCAGTCTTTGCAGGCCCATCTATCCCAGCAATGGACCCTTTAGCTCGGAGGTATGTGTGGCGGCCGTTCAATAATCAGCGCAATGACGAGCCAAACAAGCGTCATATCTGGGGAACTTAGAGCCCGTCGTCGCAAACTCGAATTCTAACACAGTAGCGTACCGCGCAATTGCTATATGAAGCCAACCACCCAGACTGTGATTGGTTTCTGCTGCTCAATCCTTTCTCTCACATTCTCTTACAGCAACCTGTGATAGTCGGAAGCCGGTCCGGCGAGCGAGTCTCCGCTCCTGCACAAACGGCACCCCACCTCGCGGAATGTCTGCCGGAGCTTGAGCTTGCGCCGGCCTTGGCAGTCAGGTCACTCGTCAAGATGTGCCACGGCGAAAGAGAAAACTAGTATTATACAGTAGGCACATCATTTCCGACAGCCTTATGTCTGTTCGCACTACACGGGATTTCAGTCGATTTAGAAAATGGACGCAGCTCAGAAAGATTCCCAAGATAAAGCATGTGAGAAGCGATACCGCCAGGTTACGTTGTAATGAACTCGTATCACGACATTTCTCAAACAATGAGGTCTTAGCTATTTGTTACGGTGTAGGAGTCGCCGGTAGTCGATCTATTTCAAGCTCCAGCCATCATCCATCACAAGATCCAAAGGTATGTGTATCTCAACACATCACCGAGCATCTACGACATCCGGTTTCCCCGGATCACCCATCAAGAGGTAAAGACTCAAGTGCAACATTTAAGCGTAGCCTGTGAGCACAATCCTCTACCCGATATCGTAGCATGTCGCATAACGATATCGTCAAGATCCAGATGCTGGCGCACACCAGCTTGAGAAGACGCCGATAAACGTCATGCAATGTGGGACAAGACCCTCTTCCGTCTTCCAGCCCCGGGCTGGGTTGTTTGGCAGTTTGGTACTATCTCGATATTGCATCTCTGCGCTTTTGATTTATTACCAAACCTATCATTGCCGTTCCTTAAGCTTGTCTAGCCTCGAGGCCCGATGCTTGGGGGAGCAGAGTGAGTCAATACGAGTGGCTTTTGGCTTCCTGAGAGGCTATGTCTTCGTGGCTCAGTTGGCTAGAGCGTTGGTCTCATATTTATATGATCCAGTTAAACATTGGGCTATCCAAAGGTCGTGAGTTCGAGCCTCACCGAGGACATTCATTTTTGTACCAGTGAGTCTCTACCTTTTTATTTATTTTAACTATGTACACTGTGTTCTATCAATGCTCCAGTAATAGATACATCTAGCAGTTCTTTTAGGTACCTAATAATAAGGTTAGCAGCATATGTAAAAGTAGGATGTACATGGGACATACCTCTAGAGAGGTTACTCCTGAATCAGGGGTTAGGGGCTACCATTGTAATTGCCATAGCACTTGGGGCACCAGAAAACCTTGGCTGTCATCCTCAGCATACCGACTGTACCAGCCTCTCCCATTACAGGAAAAGCACTTTCTTTTTCACAGAGCTAAGTAACACGGTTTTTGCTTTATAGTCACAGTCATGGGTAAGTATATCACTGAATTTGTGCACCTTCACCCTGGTACTGTATATAAGGTACTTCAATTAGGAGCAGATGGCGTACTGGCTAGGTACCTACCTAGTGTATCCTTAGATGTGGTCGGTTGTTTAAGCCAGTAGTAGCGCATCAGCACACGCAAGCTGGGGCGCCAAATGCAGGCACATGTGCAGATGCTGGCGCCGGCACAGGGGTCAATCTCAACTCCAAGTTAAAATGGAATCATCTGAGTTGCCATTACCTTCCTGGGTACACGTAATCACCAAGATCATTCTCTTTCAAGCATTCTGTGTACCTAGTACTAGCCCAAGCAACAAGAAGCATAGATGGTCAGTGGTACTTGCTTAATTACCATAGGTATTTGGTCATGTGCTTCGTACCTACATGCACCGAGGCACCTGCTTAGATTAAGAAACTTGTGCCAGTAATGGCAGGTAGGTACCTTAGGTAGTGTCAGTCCTGGAGGTACCTCCCAGCCAGGGACTTGAAACATCAACAAGTAAGTATCTACATGTACCTTGCGCATGTGCCAGGTACTACCTCACTATATTAATATAGGATCGATACCAAAAAGGAACAACCAGGGTACACCAAGCAAGTACCCTCAATTTTAGGTACTGTTCTTCACGCTTGCTCTTCGCATCTAAGGAGCAACACGCAACATCCAACATCTTCACGTCCAATTGTGACACCCGAACTTCAGATATCTCTGTCTTTCCCTTCCTCCGCCTCTCTACACTTAGATGCTGCCTTACATTCATCCACTCGCCCGGGCAACAAATTCTTAGACACACATAATACTACAGCCTGCTCAACCTGCAACCTGCAACTCTGCAATTTGACGTAGCATAGTCTGGTCCGCGCCCTCATAACGAATAGCCTCCAGCAGGCCAACCTGTCGATACAAATTGGCCTATTGCTGATGGCAACCACATTCTGAGTGCAGCACTGCCCAAGCCCGCCCTTGACACCAGCCCTGATTGCAATACCCACCGTCTAAGGATATTCCACTTGCATCTCCTGTTGGTTCACTGGCTGGCAACATGTCAACCGTCGAGGAACCTGCCTCTGGAAGAACACCCAAACTTGACGATTCGCCAACTCCCTCGGATAAGGAGACGGTATGTAGATTCAATTACCCACAGGCCGTCCCGAAGCCCCTGGTGCTCTACGCTGTTATGCTTGGAACAGATCTAGACTGACATCCTTTTCCCATTTAGGACACCTTCGAAGACGCTATGGACACTGGATCCGTCCGATCACTCACAAACCGCAAAGTTTCCCAGCCAGCATCGCCGTCCCCAAATGATGTCGGTGCCGATACTATCTCCGATGCAGCTGAGAATGCACCAGAGAGTCCTGTGAACACAGCAAAGTCAAATGGCTATGCAGTCGGAGAGCCTGTTGAGAAACTTGACAACAACGACCAGAATAGCACTGGTGCCACAGATTCGGCAAGGACTTCCAAGCGAGTCTCGCATGCTTTTCTAGACAATGTAGATCTTGGCGACGATCCCCCGAGCGAACAGCCCAAAGGTTAGTGACACGCAAAGAGTTGCTCATGTACAAAATGCAGAGGCTAATATTAGAAATAGAAGAACAAGAAGTGCCGGAACCACAGAAACAGCCGACGAAAAAGCTTTCTCTCAGCAATATCGCATCTTCCCTCCCTTCTATGCCATGGTCTCCTTCGAATAACGAAACCCCGCCGAAAATGAGCCCTATCCCGCCTCCATCCAATGCAATACTGCCCCCTCTACCGCCTGCCCCGACACGGAAGATTACAAGTCCTTTTGCTTGGTTATCTCGAAATTCTGGTCCGAAAGAAAATGCTGCAGCGCCAGCTTTGGGTAATACGGGCTCCCCCAGGCGGAACACAGCAAGCTCAATAGCCACACTAACCAGTAATCCCGAAATGATGCTCAGCAAATTGGAAGAGGAAAGCCCATCTGCAGGTTCCAATGGTGGGCATCGTCAGTCAAGAAACAGCTTAAGGGATAGGTTTAAATTGGTACGCCTACGAGAAGAGGCCGGTATATCCCTGAATCCAGACGACGGTGAGCAGTCTCCAGGTGGTGTGGCAGCCTTGGCCACTCCTGGTATAGAAACCGCTGGCGGACTAAATATCCAACCACCGCCATCGCCACTGCCCCTGACCGCGGATGAGAGTTTAGCTCCAGGCACTGTATCAGGTGTTTCAGCTGGGCCATCTGCTATAAACGATACGGCAGTGGACTGGGATCTCTGGCAATCCGTCGTCTACGAGGGACCATCCGCTGTTGCTCGAACGAGCCCTGAGGAATTGAATCGGGCAATCGCAACCGGCATCCCCAACGTTATTCGTGGCGTCGTTTGGCAGGTCTTAGCCCAAAGCAAGAACGAGGATTTAGAGCTAGTGTACAAGGAACTGGTATCCCGGGGTACGGAGAAAGATAAGGATAGAAACAGCAATAGCACGGCAGTCAGCATTATTAGCAGCAGTGGCTTGGGCGCTGAGAAAGAGCCTGCGGCTTCATCTGCGTCTTCTACGAAATCCGGGAAGTCTGGTGGTAGTGGCAAGCGATTACCCGGTACACCTCCTGAATCATCCGAAGCCGCTCTGAAGGCCCAAATACTAGCCGCGTCAGAGAGGAGGAAGAAGGACAAGGAGGATGCGGTTGCACTGCAGAAGCTCGAAAAGGTCATTCGGAGAGATCTTGGTACCAGAACCAGCTATTCAAAATATGCTGCCGCCGCCGGTCTACAAGATGGACTTTTCGGCGTATGCAAAGCTTATGCCCTCTTTGACGAAGGCGTGGGATATGCCCAGGGCATGAACTTTCTCATCATGCCGCTACTCTTCAACATGCCCGAAGAAGAAGCGTTTTGCCTGTTGGTACGCTTGATGAATCAGTACAAGCTCCGAGATCTCTTCATCCAAGACATGCCAGGACTTCATATGCACCTTTATCAGTTTGAGCGAATCTTGGAGGACTTGGAGCCGGCCCTTTATTGTCATTTACACCGCCGAGGGATATCCTCCCATCTGTATGCGACACAATGGTTTCTTACCTTGTTTGCCTATAGATTTCCACTTCAGTTGGTCCTGAGAATTTATGATCTCATTCTGTCTGAAGGACTATCCGCTATTCTCCGGTTTGGCATAGTCCTGATGCAAAAGAACTCTTCGGCTCTCCTTGGCATGTCGGACATGTCGCAACTGACCACTTTCTTGAAAGACAAGGTCTTTGATGTTTATATTGACCAATCGCCGAGCGCCGGAAGCATTCTCGAGAACGGCTTTTTTGGCAGCAGTTCCTCAAACCTTGACAAGGAGGTCTACCGGGCCGACCAACTAGTCCGCGATGCTTGCGAGGTAAAGCTGACACCGGAACTCCTCAAAGCCTACGCCACGGAGTGGGAAGAAAAAACACGAGCAGAAAAAGAGCGTGAGCAAGAATTGGAGCAGCTTAGGGCTGCTAATGTAAACCTCGCCATCAAGGTCCGCAAACTAGAGGAACGAATTGAAGTAAGCGACCGTGAGCAAGCAGATATGGCCAACGACCTCATCCGTACCAAGGTTGAGAACGAAGAATTGAAGGACAGCAATGAGAGTCTCACCGGACAGGTCAAAGAACTGCGTATCGTGATTGAAAAACAACCTGAGGAGATCGAGCAAGCTTGGAAACCGGAGCGGGATGACCTCATGAAACGCAATGAGAAAGTACACAAGGAAAATGAGCGACTCGAGAAAGAGTTGTCGGAACTTGAAGAACAACTTGTACAGACGAAGATGCAATACGCGGAGGTATGGAAATTTCCCCTAGCCTCTTTGCGAGCCGTACTAATTATATCACAGACTAATGCTCAGCATGAAGCTCTCAAGAGAAGGTGGCAGGACCTCAAACGTCAGTTCGATTAAGAGGTTACATGAGTCTAATTCACCGCAAGTCTCAAGCCCGTTCTTGATTGACTCCTGCTTATCACGTGTGGAAGCTTGTCGTTGCTTACCCCTAGCTTTGCGGGGGCTGGGTTTAGGCAGGAAGCATTCTTTTCACCAACGAAACCTGGAAACGAATTGAAATGATGGAAACAGATACAGGCTAACGAGATCCATCAGTTGGATGTGGGCGAAAAATGTCTTTTTTTTTCGCCTCGAGGCTTTTGTGTTGGTAATCTACTTGTATGCATGCATTAGGACGCAGTGGCATGATTTTGACGCATACCCGGCGTTGATACTGGCGAAGAGCATTCGCATCATCAAGATGCACCTTGGTTGATTGGTTGATTGATTGATTGAGTATAGCCCAGGTTTTGTCTCGATACCACCTCGCATTTATTTTCCCCGAGGGAAGGCAAACAGGAAGGGGGAAACATCTTCGGTGAAGGAGGGCAGCTAGGGCAGCGCCTCGCGAGCTCAACTCACCGAATAATCGAGAGAGAGGTTAGATGCGATGAACTTTGTAGAGAGTCTAGATGAGATGGTGTTCTGTGTTGGCATAGGTCATTCATAGGCTGCGCAACACTGTACGAAATACACGATCCATGATAGCATCAAAGCGCGACTAGTCCGGCTGACTGACTGACTGACTGACTGTTTCACCAAGGGGTGTATACAATATCTCGTTTTATGGTGAACCAAGACATACATGCAGTCTT